ATGTTTATATATATATATATATATATATATATATATATATATATATATATATATATATATATATATATATATATATTACACAAATAAAGGACCGAAATGCACAATTGCTCGCGTGAGCGCATCTCGCGTGATGTGTCAATCATTTATTTATAATTTGTTAGATATTTCATGAAGAATGAAAATAATCCCCCGCTCTCTGCGCGTATTCATATTATATTGTATATTATATATATTTTTAATAATACATATCTAAATTAATTAAAAATTATTTGATGCGGCTCATTTCAAGTTTCCCAGATACGTTTTTACGTGAAAATAACGACACGCAACTTCCAGGTGTAAATTTCCAACTTCTATACTCGGATGTCGGTTGAAATTTCACGCTGAGCATGGTATACGAATAAACTTTTGACATGCACGCATGGTTGTACGCCTTCCGGAAAGCTAAATTAAATTAGCTGATAACCTTTCACCGTGATGCATCTGCAAACATTTGCAATTTCTGTCTTGCAATATCCTGATTGGCTAATTAAAATTCACCGAGAAATTCAAAACAACGACATTGTTGAATTTGCTATTTTCTGGAGGGAAAGAGGGAAGAAAATTATAAACATTTCTATAAAACAAACATTTAAAAATAAATTTGCTGGATACTCATGTAAACTATTTTCCTCTTATTACTTTCTGAAAATTTTTTAAATTCTCGTAGAAGAAATTTGGACATAATGCTGGAATAACATTTTTTTTTAATAACTCTCAAAATTAGATAAAAACCATCATATAAATAAATAAAACTATCTAAATCCAGTTTTTACAAAGTTCTTTTGCATATGTGAACATTATCACAATTTTCGTAGAAATTACTTTTAATATTTTTTCACTCGATTCTGCTATTAAGTACATCATCATAACAAAAAACCGTTGCATTATACAATATTTTTTTTTTTTTTGAGATTCTGATTGTCACAATGTTGCTAAACCAAATATGTCCAGATGTTTTACACGCAGGCACATCCCTGAATGATTTATTTAGACTCTAATAATCTCAGCAAAATTCTGCGCGAATCCTCTTGAAAAAATGAATATACACACACATTCACAAAGTTTTCTCTCTCTCTCCTTCATATTATCTCTTTTGGCACGCATCCGCGACCAAATTTATTCCGAATCACCCTGGCCTCTCTTCTCCTCACAGAGTTAATCTCGATTCATCTCGCGGATGCATGTCGAAAGAGAGAATACGAAGATCACGAGGGAGAAAGAAAGAGAACGTGAAAGGTCGAGGACGGAGGTGGAAGAAGAGGAGGAAACGGGAGCGCGGCGGGAACCGACGTTCTCCAGGGGGGGTGAAGAGACGCGAGAGGGGGAAGACATTATTGATTGTTGTTGATAATTAGCCGGTACAGGCGCGCGCGTCAATCACCCGGCCAAGGCGATGTTATTAGGCTGTTGGTTAGCGCCGGGCGAAGCTTCTCGCGAGGAAGCTATACGCCGGGATTGTACACGTATTTGTAGACGTACGTGGGTGTTGCGCGCAAGCGTGTGCGTGATCGTGGATGCGTGTCATACTGGCGGCTGCGCGCACGCTCGCGCGAATGCGCGAATGCGGAACGCCCGCCATTGAGCCGCCCGATTACCTACCCTTTTCCTTCCCTCTCACAATTCGATCTAATACGCTGCGCTGCGACGCGAGAGAAGGTTAATTATGCAGTTAATGAGAGCATTTAGATATATGTATATGTATACACACTCGTGCGTATATATGTATACCGAGGGAAAAAATGATTATTTTCCGACAGGAAATATGCCAACTACTGCATGCGCACCCTGCTTATATATAGGATACATGTACATATATGTACATACGTTTGATAATAAGATATATATATATATATATATATATATATCAAATGGAGTTTCTTTGGAGAGGTGCTGCCCAAAAGAGAAACTTTCCGATCGACTGTACGGATCGAGGCGAGGGTAGAATTTACGACAGAAGTGGGTGCGGAGAAAGGAAGGAGAGAGAAGGAGGGTTGGCAGGGGGTTGTGTACGATGGAAAATACCTATTTGCTCCCGCGGTCCCGCAGGATCAATCTCTTCGTCGCTGGCGCTGTTCGGTTTCTTGGACGATATTACACTCGGGGACGGGAATAATGCGAGGTTTGATCGGGCGTTCGTCGACGAGTAACCGCAACACCCGGGATGGATGTAATTTGCAGGGAAAATGATCGCGTAATAGTTCGCCCAGTGAGCGACGCGTTCTGCATTGTGTGGCCTGTTGTATAGTCGCATTAATCTCGGCAGAATCAAGAAAGAGCTACGAGAAACGTAAGATTAAAATCTGTTTGCATATTTGTTTGTTTTCTTTCTTCATTTCATTTAATTGCTCGCCGCAGAGAGATTTTATGACTTTTATATATCAGAGTTTCTTGTAAACTTCACATTTTTATGTACTACGCGAATTCTTGATCTATGCATAGATGGATTTTCAATTAAATTTATTGAATAATTACGTGTTCTTTTTTTTTTGTTAGGAAATATTAATATTTATTCGACAATTTCTGGATATATGAAACGACGTGAAAGTTTAGCTTTTCGGACGAATATTGCCTCGAAGATCAAAATAACGCGAGTTTTGATTGGGCATTTAGCCACGAGTAATCATCGATGAAAGGTATAATTTGCGAGGAAAGAGATAGCGTATTAGCTTGCCGCGTGTTGACGCGTTTTAAGTTCTCTCATAGCGACGCAAAGTGCTCGAAAATTACCCAGTGATTACTCACTTAATGATTTAATCCGCAAAATTGCACGGTCTGGCGACGATCGCGTAATTTACGAAAAAATTATAATTTATACGAAAGTAGGTGAGAAAAAAAAGTGCACGCTAATATACAGTAGTAGACTTTTATTTTTGACGCAAGCGAGCCTTTTTAAACCGAATAATATGCACAAGTAATATTTGTCTTTAGAGGAGATTTTTTTTTTTGCAGGAAGATATTTAAAAAATATCTTTCTGCGTGATATTATAAATTGAATATTAAATAAAAAGTCGCTCTCGATGAAACGATGTAAAATTATATTCTTTTCTACGAAATAAAGATAGATATGTTGGAATTAAAATATTACAAGCGAAATGTCAATTAAAATATATTAACTATATTGTGATATGACATTTGCTCCACTCTTCAGAAATAATTTGAAAGAACTCACCGGCAAAATATCTCTAATTTTTCTCCGAACTCTGCATATGCATGAAATAATATTGCACGTCATAATTTGCGGCGAAAATACATCACGAGACATGAAGACGCGAACGATATCGCATCGCAGGGATTTATATATTTCCTACAAGACCGCGATGTAGAGCTTCTCTCATCGTGATGCACCCTGCGCTTCGAAAAGCGAAACAATTAAACAGTGCGCCTGTCTGACACGACTATCGTAGTCGGTCGGGCAATTAATTTCGTCGCTTTAAATCGATTAGACCTCGACCGAAATATACCGAGCACGAATGTATACCACGTGGCCCCTAACAAATACACGGCGGACATGTTATTTACAATGAAAATGCGCGATCGCGTGTTCGTTTCGACGGCGTAAGTAAATCTTGCCTCCGTTTCCGTTGCGTTGCGCCTTTCGTTAACGACGATAACGACGCGGCAATGTGGCCGTCGCCTTAATAAAGAACCGGATAAGCGGCGATAGGACCTAATTCCAGATGCATGCGTACGTCGCAGTCGGTCGGACGCGTGTCGCACCCTGATATAAAAAAAGATGCGTGCCGACGCGCACTTACAGCGATGTTCTCGTTTATCTCGCACGATTAGATGATTCTTTAGGGAACGTTTGGAGATAAAACCGTTTTCGACGTGACAGTTATAGGAATAATCTATGAGCTGAACAAATTATACGCTGCTCGTTTACGTTGATATTTTCATTCATTGTAATAAACCAGAAATAATTTTTATAAAATCTTTATATTAGGCAAATGTATGTATTAAATAAATAATATATATATAATTAAATAAATAAATATATTTGTTTTTATTATTTTTTTTCTTATATTATTTTTCACTACAAATTAAAACAGAAGCTTGCGTAATCTTCATCTGTTTCTAGATTGATAAGAAATTAATTTCGAAACAATCATTAAAGATATGTCCGCTAGGATTATAAAATTTTATTGCACTTTACACAAATGTTTCCCCCAGTCTTTTTATAACGTTTATAAATGATTATTTCCCGTCAGTTTCATTCTCGATAAACGATATCCAATCTTCATCAACATTAATATCATAAATGAAGAGAGAAGAAGAAAGAGCGTAATTCTTACTTATTTTCTTAAATTATTGACTAAGAAAGAATAGCAATTTAACTCATTCCCTTCGTTTTCCCGGCGAAATCATATTGGAAGAAGGTTGATTAAATTTCTTAACGACGCATATTCTGCTTCACATGAAACCCCGTTATCGCTCTGATCCATGTCTTATCTTTTACACACAACTTCATTTCGAGATTACCGTATCTTCGTAAGAAAATATGACAACCGATACTTTATGTAACGCTTGTGTCCGACGAGAAAGATAATCCACCTATCGAGCCAGTCTCTCTTCCCTGCCTTCTCCTAGTAACTAAATTAAATGCACTAATCAATCCTCATTGTCTATTTTACGTTCAACAAAAATGTCCGATATTGTTCGCAAAAAATGTCCAGGCGCGAATGACGTTTTAAAGCGCGACCGAATTCACGAATATACACCCACACACACACACACACATGTCCCGCACGTATACACATGCAATTCTGCATAGCCACGCGGCACTTCTAATAGCTACTATTATGCGCGTATAATGGGGGTAATAGCGCCTGCGACTCCGGATAAATCGATCACCATTACCGCTCCTATTACTAGTAACGACCGTTTCCGAGGAGACCTGACCAACTTGCTCGCTCTCGCTCGCTTTCTCTCCCTCTCTCTCTCACCATTGCGGCTTCCAGGTGAGAACAGCTGCAACTCCACCGGCGGCGGCAGCGACGAGGAACTCGGCGCAGGCTGCGGAGAGGACATAAACGGCAATGGGGGTAAGAAGAAGCATCGACGCAACCGGACGACCTTCACGACCTACCAGCTGCACGAGCTCGAGAGAGCGTTCGAGAAGTCCCACTACCCGGACGTCTACTCCAGAGAGGAGCTCGCCATGAAGGTCAACCTCCCGGAAGTACGTGTTCAGGTGAGTCAAAAAAATCAAAATGACAAGTCGACGCGGAGGATGTATTGTTCACCAATTTATTGTACAAAGATTGAATTTTTGTTAATGGGCCATAGATGAAAAGAAACTTTCCGTAAATGTTTAATAGATTTCTAAATGAGTTTACTTTACGTTTAGAATCTGAATTCTAACTCGTAAATATTTGATATATTTATTTCGTATAATTAACGGTAAAAGATATACGTTTCGACATCGAAACGAGAATATTAAGACGTTGAAATTAAATTAGGTAAATAATGCAATGTACGTAGTTGCGAGAAAAAAAAAGGAGAGAAAACTCTTGCTTGTGTACTCTCGGCAAGAGAAATAATTTGACGCGACCTGCAGCACGAACAGCTGATTTATCCTTCCTTGGCCGAAATTTGACGGATATGACTGTCGTGTTCGTGGCGAACAACCGGCCGGCTGGGTTAACGCTGGCGTTTCCGTGCAAACAATCGGAACGGCAATCACTGGCTGGCGCGCTCGAGCCGACGTATTAGACTAAATTAAATTAATTATGTGCGTGACAACGATAAAAGCACGCAGTCGCGTGCGACGACGCATCGATTAGGCTCCCGAGGGCACGCTTGCCGAGCGGGACACCAGTGGCGCAGCTACTTTGCGGTTTCAATGGTTCAACAGAATCGTAATTTTCAACTCGATAAGATCCCTCGTAATCCTCAAGCTTTTCATTTTATTTAACTTTATGAGAATTGAGAAAAATTCTTAAGTAAGATTAAAGCTCGAAGAAAAAGTGTTATTTTTCTCAAATAATTATGTAATGTAACAAATTAATATAAAGTATGAGATAGAGGGTGATACATATTGGGTATTCCGAACACAATAATTTCTAGATTAGTATTATACGAATTGTGATGGAGGGACCTGATAACGGTAATTTCATCTTCCTGAATGAATGTGATTTTTTTCTCCAATGAAAGAGGTAAAAGGGAGAAAGGTTAAGAAAGGGGTTCGTAAAAGGATCTCCCTCTCTCGGTCCAGGCTCCATCACCACCGCCACCTTGTTACGCTATTGGGCGGAGTTCTCGGCAACATGGGATAATAACCTGGCCGGCGGGGACTTACAAGCACCTGCTTTTTCTTTCTATATACCTTCTCGAACGCGGAATTGATTTTTACCGGGCGCTCGCCTCAACTTCTTATTGCCGCGAATGGCTCTCGCCTGCCGGCGACGGTCAAGATTGCGCGTCGATTGCAATTAGGGCTTTATCGAGGCGACCATACTAATTCGTAGTGTCGTGAGCAGATTCGGCACCCTCGTTAGAGGGTTGCGATTAAACACGCAATGCGAGAAACGATAAGAATTACCTTCGCTCCTTAAGTGGATTATAGATGGGTTTTAAAAGTGTGAGCAGCGATACGGAAATAGACCAAGTTTGCCTACATGAATTGTCCATCTATTAAAAACCCGGGACTTTTATTATCATTTATTAACAAACAGTTTATATATATATATATATATATATTGCGAGATAAACATCGCTGGTAATAAAGTTGCTCTGTAATTTTCTTTTCTCGCTACTTTAAATATAAATGATGGATAGAAGCATATAAGCTAATTGCAGAAAAAATTAATGGCTAATTATATCATACGGATAAAAGTTTATTTCGCAAATACGTTAGTGATATAAGACACGAAAGGAAAGAAATAAATGAACACAGCTCTTTACAAATTATTTTTTCGAAAAATTATTTCTGAAATGATAAGATTCGGTTGAAATAAAAAATGAAACTAAGTATGACAAACATAGCATTATCAACAAATTCGAATAAATATTGTAATCTTTTAATCCTTTTTATAGTGTAATTATTCTGACTGTAGTGTGTAAAACGAAGCTATAATTATTATATACTTAGTACCTAACACATATTTTAAACGTTAAATAAACATAGAAGATATAATATAATATTTTCTTGAATACAGATGAAACTTATTCAACTTAAGCGTGACATATTTTACGGGAAAATTGTAAAAAAAATTTTGGAAAAATGCCTATGCTCTTCTACACGATAAACGACGGAGTAACAAACTTGGATGCATTCATCCAATCGATGTGAGAAAAAATGTTGAAAAGGAGGATCCTTGAGCGAACCGAGCGGACTCGAAAACGATAGCGAACGAGAGGCGTCGCGATCGCTCGGAGGCGTCGTTCTCCAGCTGCGGCTTCGCAATTAAAAATTTAAATTGCGTTTAAAACCCGCCGAGAGCTGCCGACGCGCGCTCTTCCGCCTTCCGTCTTCGTCGTCGTTCCTTCTCTCCGCAAAGGGCTTTTTTCCCGTTTTTCTCGAACGAGCGCGGCCGCGCGCCTCTCGTTTATTTTCTTCCCCCGACTGTCTCTCTCGCTCACCCTGGCACCGCATCGTCTCGGGCCGCCCCCAGGGTATACCTAATCGCTTAAGCTTATTACGCCGCAACGGACAAGGCGGTTGCGGAATCAGCTTGGCTCGCGAGAGATGCAACGAGTTGTTCTATTCGCTCGCGCGCGCCGTACAGTTTCATCATTTTTAATTGATAGCGCACGCCAATCCCGTCTGTCGGATTTATTAGGCCGCTCAACGAGATGGTTTCGAAGGGATGGGCAGAGGGGTGGAAAACGGGGTGCGGAGGAAGGGAAGCTTTTATATTGGGCGTGGCGGAACGCGGACGGGATTCTGTCGGCGGTCGCTGCGGTCTGATTGTCATCGGAAAAGCGCCGCGCGTTTTCCAGCTTTTCCCAATCCGGTACACACATGTGTGTGTGTGTGTGTATGCGCGCGCGTAAGTTAACGCCGCTTTCGCGATTTCCAGGCGATTATCGTCGCTTATAGCATACGCACAATTACAGATTAATTAAGATTGAATTGCTATCCGACAAAAAAATGTCCAAGTTCAATAATCTTAGATCGATATGAGAAGGTATATTTCTTTTTCAATTATTTATTTATGACGGAAAAATATGCTCGTGTTATCTTTCGGGGGGAAAAATTCTTTTTAGTTAATTTTCATCAGCGTTAATGACGTCCGTGCAATTCTGAGTTGTTTGTAATATATCATACGTATATAATGAAACTTTAATAACAATTATTGTTACATGTTTGTTACGACTGTGTTATCAAACACTTTTTTTTAGAATTTAAAATAGAATCTGTTTTCATTTCAATTTTGCCTGATGAAACAGGGACGGCGATTTTAAAAGACTGTAACACACACGGTTTTAAACGCCTACTGTTTGTTATTCGTTAAAAGTACATTATTTTACACGCTGCGACAAAAATATTTCGACCGAATCAATTAACGGCCAAATGGTTTAGCTTTAAATCGCGCGTAATGTTTGTTTGCGTACTAAATCGAAAAATAGATTGCAGAAAATGTAAAAGGGAATAAAAGCTCGGGAATCATACGGGAAGCCGCATCTTTTCAAAGAGAGATAAATGGAATTGGGTAATGCAACTTCACTCGGTTAGATTTACGAGCGGGCTCGCTCGTAAATTACTAACTGTTCTGTAGCTTCGATTCTTCAACTGTCGATGTGCTCGACCTCGGCAAATCCCGCGTTTATGTAGTTTTATGGGGCCTCTTTCCCTCTCTCTCTCTCTCTCTATCATTTCCATTTTTATCCTAGCAATAAAATTTTTATTCAAGAATTGTGCGCTCTTTTATGTACATTTTTATTTAGATTTATATATATATATATATATATATATATATATGTCTTCTTCATATCTATGTCACGTGATTATTTATCATTAGGAATGATTTTTCAATAAAATGATCAAATTTTACGAAACGATATACAATAAACGTTACATCCTCGACATGTTGCTGCAACAATAGTATATATAAATAATTCGAAACAGGATAAGATAATAATAATAATAATACGGTTACAGAACGTTCATGCAAATTGATTATCGACTTTTCGGCTTACTAATTTGAACGTGATGTCATCGCTTCGAAACAGTGCCACGTTAAAATAAAGAAGTTGAAGGTTTAATATTCAATATATATTTCGCGCGATATATTTTCCTCGTTCTCGTTATCCCCAATATATCCCTATATATTGGAATTGGCATTCATCTTCGTTTAGCCGCGCGATGTCTAATGCATCCCCTATAGCGCGTTCGATGATAATCTAATTTCAACATAGCACTAAAAGTCATTTCCGTTTCGAGTCTCGCTTTTTATCGGCTTTCGTGTGCCAAAACGCCGGCGAAACTACACGGCGATCTATTATATTATTATAGACCCATTGTTCGCCGAGGCTGGGAAGGGGGTGGAAAGGGGGTGGAAAAGAGGGAGCCGCGCATTACTCGGCTGTCACGCGATCGCGCGAGAGCCCCACGTCGAAAAAAATAAACGATAGCCGACTAATTCGGCGATTTGCCGGGCGACTGCTTGGCCGAAATCGATACCGAGCGCGTTTCGGTGGAAACACTTAGCAAAATTAACCCACGCGCACGCACACCTGCGGATTGCTATTTAAAAAAGTTTGTCACGAGAGAAGAAGCGCGCGATATCATATTTGACAACTTGGAAATCAACAAATTATTTTGCGAATTTACAATTATATGTATACTGTTCGTACAAATACGAAATAATATATGTATGTATATGAATGGTAAATGTAATGGCTCTCCTTCCTTTTATTTAAGCAATATTATCGCGTTCCGAAATAGAACGGAGAATGTGTCACCTGTATAAAAATCTACTCTCTCGATCAAACTCTCTTTCTCTCTGCCATTGCGGCATTTTCAATGAAAACGAAATTCCGTTCCCGTTATTGCGTGGAGTCGATTGCACTTTGGCGGCTCTCACCGGCGAATTATTACCTCGCGTGCCGGTGTCGACTTTATTTCGGTGAGTAATTTGCGTTCCGCATACGTTTTTGATAAATACGATATCTGCCTACGGTCTTGAGCCGCAACTTACGAGTCTAAAAGAACAATTTTGTGGTAACTGCATATAACAAGCTTCGTTT